TACAAGATTAATTGTTGACGAGATGCGAAAGAATGTTATTGGTGCTATTGTGGTTTCGAGAAATCGAGTGGGCAAAAAAGTTTACATATCCCGGATGAATTTGGTACCGTCTGATCCAGGACTACCACTAAAGTTCCAGAGAAGATAATTTTCAATAGTCTTATGTTTTGCTATGACTATTAACAAAAGTCAAGGTCAAACATTGTCATTTGTTGGCTTATTTTTAACCAAGTCAGTGTTCACTCATGATCAGCTTTATGTTGCTGTTTTGCAAGTGAAGACAAAGACAGGATTAAAAATATTAATCTTAGATGACAATGGAAATCCTTGCAGCCATACAAAAAATGTTGTATACCCTGAAATCTTTCAAAAAATTTGGTATTAAAGCAAACTTTGTTTTGTGTAGATTCAATTCCTCAAATATTATTCTTTTTACTTTGCTTTTCTTTTCTGTGTTATTATAAATCATGCATGAGGTATATTTTCTTTATTCCGGAAAAAAATATTGCATTGAATAAATTCAGAATCGACAAGATATTCGTCCGAACGTACCTTAGTTCTGATAAAGTTGAGAACTCGGATTGCAGTTCAAGTTTTTTGGTGACCTACACTCTCCCGAATTCTTAAATAAGATTTGTGCTTCAGGAGTACCGAATCACGAACTAATTCTGAAGGTAGGCATGCCTATTATGTTGTTGAGAAATATTGACCATTCAATGGATTTATGTAATGGTATACAGTTGATAGTAACCCGGTTGGCTAATCACTCAATACAAAGAAAAATATTATCAAGAAGCCACATGGGTGAAGAAGTACGTTATTCCAAGACTATCATTAACATCGTCCGATACAAGAATTCCTTTCAAGTTTCAAAGAAGATAATTCCCTGTGGTTACTTCGTACGCAATGACGATTAGCAAGAGCTTGGGACAATTTCTGAAACATGTTGAACTACTCTTACGGAAACATGTGTTTAGTCATTGACAGCTCTATACGAAGTCTTAATGTACTACTTATTTTTAAAAGAACAAGCCGCCCTGTAAAGTTGGAATTATTGTATATAATTTTTTCTAAAAAATAAGAAGTGATATAGTAATACTTTGTATAGTGCGTAAAATATTAAAACCCACCCGTATATTTTTATTTTACTTTTACCAATTTCAAGTTAATTTCCATTGATTACCTTATTTATTTTATTATTTTTGTATCATTTTAGTTACATTTCTCATTTTTTCATTTTTTTATATCTATTATTTTTATTTTTTTAAACTAAGACTAATCTTTAAAAAAGGAAAAAGAAATGATGATGGAGGTAGAAAGTAATTTTAAAAATTTAAATGAAAAATTTAAAAAAAATAAAAAAAATGAAAATTCATCAAAAATAATCCCAACTTTCATTTTGTTGCCTAAAACGGGCATTTCCGTTAACCCTCCGTTAGAAACTTAACGGCGACCCAAAACTGGCAAATTTCAGTAAAGTTGGGATTATTATGCATTACAGTGAAAAGTGGGATTATTTTTGAAAGACCGGGTAAAGTTGGGATTATTTTTGGTAATTTTTCCTTAAATCTACTTATACAATGAGGAGTTTTAACATGGTCATTTTTTTTCAAGATATGTAGCAACCAAATCCATTCTTTTTGTTTAGCATAAGACCACTAACCTAAATATAAAATTAATAAATTCATTCAGAGAAGTAGGTGCATAATTAATTATTTCATAAAAATGGATGAATCTAAATCACTTTTTTATGCAAAAATATACTTCATCCGTCCCTCATAGATCTTCTCATTAACCCTTTTTATTTGTCCACCATAGATCTTCTCATTATCTTTTTTAACAATTAAAATATACTCCCTCCGTCCGGAAATATTCTTCTCGTGTTGACTTAGCACGCTTATTAAGGAATAGTAAAAAATGTAAAATTTTCAAAAATGCATATACTATAAACTTGTAAATCTCCTTTTATTATTAAAAAAATACTAAAAAAGTATATTTGTGATAAAATAGAAGGGTATTATTGAAATTTATCCTTAAAAAGTATACTAAAAAAGGAAATGGGAAAAATATTTCCGGAAGGACTAAAAAGGAAAGTGGGAAGAATATTTCCGGACGGATGGAGTATACCACAACTATCCCCACTTACTTTATTTATTACACCTCACCTACCTCATTTAATACCTTCCACCCATTTTCATTAAGGGTATTATGGTAAACTTTCATATTTTTTCAACTCTTCTTAAAAACCACAAAAAGTCAAAATGAGAAGATCTTAAGGGGACGAAGGGAGTAATTCTAAATCCAAAAATAAAAAGTGTTCTTTACCCCCCATACGTATATATGGTAAATAAATTGGTATGTTTAAATAATTCTAAAAACTCTATTCATTAACTGTCTCAGTTCGCTTTGCTATCAAATGCTTGAATAATTATTTATATAAATATATAATGAATTGAAATATTAAAAATTAGACTATAATCTCAAAATAAAAATATGTTTGATAAAAAATTTCATTGGTCAAACATATCATTCAAAAAATGAACCGGGTGTTAAAAACAATAGAGTTACTAATTCTTAAATTATGTTTAATCAATAAAAAATAAAATAAATTAATGTCAAATCAATAATCTGTATGTTGATTAAAATTACCAACTCATTAAAATAATACTCCGTGAATAGACAACAGACGATTTATTAAAAATGTCATATTAGCTCGTGACATGCCAATATCATTAAGCCAGAGTCTCAAATTTTATAATAAAAAGAAAGATTAGCCAATAAATGTCATTAGCAATTAATTGAAAGTTTTTTATAATTAACATTTATAACCTCCTAATTATAATTACTTTACATATATCTCGTAAAAGTTTTCCATATGTGCAATAATTGGGAATGAATATTTGCTCTAATAAGATGTTTTCATACTTTAAGTGAAAATTGCCAAGTCACTTAAGTCATCAAATGTGGCTGATGACGTGTAAAAAATTTTGCCAAGAAACATGCCACATGTCGAATTTCTAGAAATTTAACTCCCAAATATTATATATAAAGATTTAATCAAACATGGCAAATCAGACGAAAGGAGTAATACTCCCTCCGTCTATAAATAAACATCCTGATTTGACAGAGTACGTAGTTTTAACTTCTAAAATGCCTCGTTACTGTTTCTCATTTACTAATGCACCATGTATCCCTCTGTCAAGAACGAACAACAAAATCATGGCTTGGTGCGCACTCAAGAACAACACTGAGCAAGCAAAGAACAAAACAACACCGAGCAATTTTAAAAATCCAAAACAAAAATGAAAACTGCAACATCCAAAATGAAAAATCTAACATTTCAGATCCCAATATTAAAAATTATAGATCCCAAAGTCAAAAATACAAAATCTAAAACTTAAGATCCACAAAAGCTAAGATCTAATATCTGGTGCCTTGGTCCAAAATAAAATTTTTATATCTCGAAATCAAAAATAGAAAATCTAATACTCCGTATCCAATATCTAAAACCTAACCGATAACACTAAGCCGGACCACAACAACGGCGACGGTAAGAACTGTCCAAACCATAATGTGGAGTTTCTTCATATCCGACAAACACCGCCTCTTTGCTCCGCTGCTCCCAATCACTAGGTGAGAAGACAAAATCAGAAGGGGTGGAAAGAAATGAAAGAAGATGAACACTGCAGGAATATGATGTAACTGCAATGGCAAATTTCGTTGTAATTTTTCAATAATTCCCTTGATAATGCTTATTATAACAATTTTTCCGTTGGAGTTTAGCCGTGGTAAAAACAAAAAACCCTTGTTGTGAACGCACTCTCGTAATAAAATTTCCATTGCAGAGCCTTGCATCACACTGTTGTAACAGGGGCATTGCAACGAACATTCAATTGCCACATTTTGCAATGGTAGTTCCGTTGCAATATATTATATCCAAAGTTTGCAACTATGTTTTCCGTTGCAAAACACTTTGCTACAGAAAAAGTGCAACAACCAGTCCATTGTTAATGTATGTTATGGAACAAAAATTTTTGCAACAGCAATTGGTAATGTATAGACTGCTACATATCAATGCTTCGTTGCAAAATTCTAAAAATGCACAACATAGTGCTTGTTCAATTTCAATCCAACATAGAAGTCATTTCTATGCACGATCTATGTACAACGGATACTCAAACACACATGTATCCAACAAAACCAAAATTTCAATACTGTTCATAAACCAAAATAACTTCCAAGTACTTATTAAACATCTAAATAATAATATCTGATCTATTGTTGCAAAATAAAATAATTAAATCATTAACTAATATAAAGGTGCCCTTCTGTCTCCGTCGGGTCTGTTTTCTCTATGGGGGGGATACGATGTGTCCGAGGAAGAAGAAAAAAGAAAAGAAAGAGAGTGGGTGGCTGGGCAATTAAGTCTTTTCATATAAAAAAGTTCCCCAAAAAAAAGAAAGAGAAATTCATTAGTGAAAGGACAGAAAATCAAAGTAAGAAGTTTATTTATGGAGGAAAGAAATAATAATATAGAAGACTAGGAGAATTTGCAAGAAAGTAGATGACATATATCATGAAAAAAATATATGGTTAAAATTTGTTTAGAAAAAAATAATTGTTAGTATTAATTGAAAAGAAAAATGGTGGAAGGTTGAATTTAGAAAGAGAGTTTTTATGGAATGTTTGCTTCTCAAGCAGAGGCGGACCCACCTTGAGTCCTATGGAGTCCCGGGACCCCATGGACCCCGGTGTAGGTCTGTATATATATTAATATATAATACGCGCTTGGCTAATGGTAATCAGAAGCGCCTCTGGTTTACTGTAAGGATTCCTAGATATGCACAGCAGCCACTCTCCTGGAATGGTGGTTCGACTCCCAGCCTAGTAATTTTAGGAGTCAATTTTTTTGATAATTTCTCCCGTCTTCCTCAATTCTTTATTTTACACTTCTAATTTTTGAACTCTAACTCCTTAAAGCTTCTGCCCAATTTGCCGTTCTTCACTTCTTTTGTGAGACTGCGACCGTGAAAAATGTTGCGAAATAAAATTTGATAGCAAAATATCATGAAGCTGAAACGAGAAACTTTCTAGTTTCTATACGCCCCTTCTTTCATCACTATGGAAAGCGACGCCGCCACTTCACCGGAGATAGCTCTATCGGACACCGATATCTGTTGGGACAGGTATGTAACATCATCATCATCATTTTTATTATATTCTAGGGTTTAGCCTGTTTAGAATTGGGGTTTCGATTTCCTTTTACCAACAAAACATCTGTATTCGATCATACCTTCATGGGTGGCACTGGCACCCATTAAAGAAAAGGGTTCTTAATTAGTATACTCCTCCAATGTCCTTAACTTTTTTAATTTTGACTCAATGCTAATTTGCTATTTAGAATCTGGTTGCACTATTGAACAAGTATATGTGATCCTTTATATATCTGCATTCTGTATATAAAATAATTTTGAAAAAAAAGAAGGTTCTAAATATTGTGATGTATCAGGCTAGACAAAGGAAGGTTTCACATCACCGGAGCTATTCTGTTCACCGCTCAGTCAGCTCTGATACATCCAACAGCGGTTGTTAAGACAAGGATGCAAGTGGCTGACTCTGCTGGAGTGTTCTCATCGCGTACGACAGGACTGTCTGTCTTCAAACATATTCTTAGGAATGATGGTGTCCGTGGCATATTCAGAGGCTTTGGCACATCGGCAATTGGGTCATTGCCTGGCCGAGTGCTGGCGTTGACCTCACTTGAGGTATCAAAAGACATGATGCTCAAACACACACAAGGTCTAGATATGCCTGAAGCAACTCGTGTTGGCATGTCAAATGCAGTTGCTGGCATGGTGTCCAACCTAATTTCATGTGTATACTTTGTGCCTCTCGATGTGGTGAGTCACGTGCTATACCCAACCCAACCCTCCTCCCTACTCATCAGAGGAATTTTGTTTTCCTCTTAGTTCATTTTGTCTTCTCATTCTCTTTTCCTTCTACTTTTCTTTGCTTTTCCTCTCTAACCGCTAACTAGACAAGAAAAAAAAATTCGGTTATCATTTTCTTTTCTTTTTCTTTTCAAATTTCTTGAACCAAGCATAGCGTAAAGTAAATTTTGAAATGAATTTCTGGATACTTGAGTACTATGAAAGTGACATGGTGAAAATACAAAATTCCCATTATAATGTGTATTACAATAGATTTGCCAAAGACTGATGGTTCAAGGGCTTCCTGGGACTAAACTTTGTAATGGGACATTTGATGTCATACGTAAAGTAATGAAGGACGAAGGTGTGCGGGGAATGTACAGAGGTTTTGGATTAACAGCAGTGTATCAGTCTCCTGCGTCTGCAATGTGGTGGGGTGCTTATGCTGCGTCACAACATATCATTTGGAGGTATATGTGTGTGCGGCCACCTTGTTCTTTGATCAACTTGCTACACTATATACACATGTAGACTGTTTGGTGTAAGATATTGATGGAGGTTGTCACTATTTTACAAAAACATATAATTATTATTCCTTAATTTTAATTAAGGAGTGTGCAGGGTTATTGTGATGATGAAATGGTAAAGAAACCATCTGATATGCAGATGGTCACAGTCCAAGCTACTGCTGGAATGTTAGCTGGTGCTTGTTCTTCGGTTATCACAACCCCTGTAGACACCGTCAAAACTCGCCTTCAGGTGCGTACGTATGTACTATGTGCTGACCACTTATTTGTGTTATGCCATATAAATGAAACATGATAGAGGTAAGGTTAGAGTTTTGGATCAATATATATACACATAGCTACAGTTTTCTATGTATACAGTAACTGAATATTAACAAAGAGTAGTGGCGTATAGGTTATGGATGATGGTGAGGGTGGGGGCTTTGGAAGACATCGGCGGCCTTCTGTAATGAGGACAGCAAAGATACTCCTCAGAGAAGAGGGATGGAGAGGATTCTACAGAGGCTTTGGACCAAGATTCCTCAATATGTCTTTTTATGGAGTCACAATGATTGTAACTTACGAGCTCATTAGTAAGTTAACTACTCTATCTGATATACTCCGTATATGTTGATCGTTATTATAGTTGATTTAATATGCTTATTTACCAAATCATAACTATCTATAATTAAAAATTAAAAGCAGACAATTAATTCCTTGGGGGGGGGGGTGAGGAATCATTTGAAATAGCAATAATAATAATACAAATAAAAATTGTATCAGAGAGATTATCTGTGAAGCAGATGTGATGGAAGGATAGGGACAGAGCATGAAATCCAGCAAGCACGCAAAATCAGATTGATTAATGTTACTAATGAATGATATATGGATGGGAGCAGAAAGTAGCCACTCATTCGATCTTGTTTTTGAGAATGATTGATCTCCTTGGCTTATGATATTAGTCATATTACGTACTTGGTTAGCATTAGCCCCATACGTTCTAGTGAATTTTGTAAGGTAGTTCTAACGTTAACATCATTTATATTTACCATTCTTAGCTTTAATAAGAATGCATCTTTAGAAAGTGAACCAAGGATACCTATTTTTATAAGGATATTTATGTATTCGTTTTATTAATTATCTTTGTGAGAAGATTCATAACCACACCCACAATTACCACCGACGACTACATTCGAATGGCGCACAAAGATCTATATGTAAGTTCACATTAGAGTATTGTACTCCGTAATTCATACTCCTTTTTCATTCCAACAATATTCTAAGAGTCCCTTTGGTGATGATTTTTGGAAGGGGGATGATATAGTATGGGTTTTGAAATTTCAAATTTGAGAGAAGTAATATGAGTTTTGAAATATGAAATGGAGTTATTAGAGAGATTTAAAATCATAATTTAATTAGTGATAGACATATGTGGGCATGTAGCCAGCAACAAATGTGGTTGATAGTGGCATCAAAAGATATGAAAACTCATCTCTCTTTTACTTACCAAATTGACCCTAAATCATTTGCTTTCTGAATGAAATAAATTTAAAGTTAACAAAAATAATAGATTTTTTTAAAATAAATTCACAAAAAACACTAGATATTACCACTTCCGTTCCCAAAAGAAGTTTCATTTTTGACTTTTTGAGGATTTAAGGGAGGGATATTTTTGTGCTGACTTTTTAAAAATAACCTTGATGTGATGGGTAAAGTAAGATGTGATATGTAGATTATTACGGAATAGCAAAAATGTATGATGTGATAGGTAGGGTATAAAAAAATAAATGGTAAAAATAGTTTTTTAATAGATAAGGCAAAAAATTTTTGGGGACAAAGAAAAAATAAAAGGTGAACTTCTTTTGGGGATTGAGAAAGTGTTACCCGGAGTACTTCATAGTTCATTAGTTCATACGTTAGCTTGTGATAGGAGAAGTATAGCGTTAGTTAAGGAATTGGGTGGGTAACATTATTCTCCAATTCATTCAACTCTTGAACTACGTACTCCGTACTCCGTATATGTTTAGCTCGAGAACAGAGGCGGACCCAGAACATTTAAAATACAATGGTGTCGCAATTCAAAAAATTTATATACAATCATCATGCTTCTAACAGTAAATAAACAGTTTTCTATCATACATAACACTAGATTTTACTCGTGCGATGCACGGTCAGAATAATATAATAATAAATTACTCTGTGTGTGTAAAGAATTTAAAAATCAGAACAAATAGATATAGTAGATAATAACATTTAAAATATATCACACCCGAATACCATCTATTTCGAACAACAATGCCTTTTATAGCGTTGTTATATCATCTAAGAGTGCATTACACATAAATACTAAAAGAGCATTACACATAAATAAGTTATACATATACAAATGCATTATAAGTTTTGGAATACTTCTTTGTATACAACATTTGAAGTATAGTCCAAGGCATTATTTTCTTCGTCGCAACATAAGATCTTCAATCCTTCACGATTTGTCACACGGGAGATTGAANCATCTATTTCGAACAACAATGCCTTTTATAGCGTTGTTATATCATCTAAGAGTGCATTACACATAAATACTAAAAGAGCATTACACATAAATAAGTTATACATATACAAATGCATTATAAGTTTTGGAATACTTCTTTGTATACAACATTTGAAGTATAGTCCAAGGCATTATTTTCTTCGTCGCAACATAAGATCTTCAATCCTTCACGATTTGTCACACGGGAGATTGAACCTTTGTAATGAACGGCGGGGGCTATGTAATGAAAGTAATTATTATGTATAAAATTAAACATTAAAAAAATCACTATACGTTGAGAAATAGTCATATGAATCATGTGCATACAAACCTTTATCCACAATGCAAAAGAGTAATAATATATTACAGTATACTTGTGTAAAAAATACATTAATGTAAACCAAAGTACATATACCATTAGTAGAATCTGTTGATTTTCTCTGAAGAATATTGCACCCACTTGTCGAATTTAACCCAACAATAACCTCTGATGATAGTTTTGATCGATTCACCCGATCCTTTTCTAGAAAAACAATCCACCATTAAAATTTTGCATTCTAAAATAACATACATTTATATTAAAATCTAATATCACTGCATTTTAAGTATTGATCAACCTTTGTGAGATCAAATAGATTTTTTTAAAACGAAATTTAATACTGCCTCCGTCCCACACATATCTTCTCAATAGCCATTTTTCTTTGTTCACAATAGATCTTCTTATTTCATTTTTTAACAATTAAAAAACCACAACTACCCCCACTTACTTTATTTATTACACCTCACCCACCTCATTGTTATAATTGTTTTAATACTATGTTTTGTATTTGATAAAATAATATAATCAGGTCAAATATTTTTTCAATACCTTTTTATTTAATGTTTCAGTATATTAAATTTATTTTTTAATTACAAATGAACTTAATACTACATTTGTTTCGGAGAATTTTTCCAGTTTTGAATTTTTTTGGTTAATTGTTTTGAACTTTTGACCTATTATTAAACAAAATACATATTGAATATAAATTAAATAAAATAATATTTTGAAAATTTTTGATAAAATAAATCTAATAAGATTATTTTTGTATCAATATCTAATATCATTTTTATTTTATTTGAGGTCAGAGTGAATAATTAAAGACGGAAGAAATATGACTTGGAAAAAATTAAATATTGAAAAGTTCATAGTCCAAAAAATGCAGCCCACCCATTTAAACTCATAGCCCAAAAAACCCTAGCCCATTCACCACTAAATATATACGGAATCCTCCCCCCTCATCTCTCCCATTTTCCGCCTCCCCCGATTCTTACATTCTACGCCGCTCACCTCCCCTCCCCTCCCCTATCTCTCTCTGTTTCTCAATCTCTATTTCTTTTTCTTACTCTCTCTGCCAATCGATTATGTCTAACCAAATACGTGTTTTTATTTCTGAATTTATGGATTTATATCCTAATTCGATTCATTTTAATGAATTTTTGTATTTTTTTGTTCGGATTTGATTGATTATCATGTTTTTTTTTCTAATTTTTGTTATCATCTTGGTGTGATAGACCGATTCTTGGGGAAAGGGACGTCTGCCACCTAAGATTGAGCTCGATCAATGATTTTTTTGATACAAAGGACTCATTTTCTGGTTCTTATTTTGATCGAGCCATAAAAAAATACTTTTAGTCTATAGATTTAATGTAACTATGTGATCTAGTTATTTCTTCCGTCTTCCGTCTTTAATTATTCACTCCTTGGTCCTTGGTACTTAATGTAGAGGGAGGCGTTTCTCAAAACAGTTTTAAACAGCCCGGTCTTTGAAAGTACTTCTTGCTCAAGTTCTTTTGGAAACTCGCGGTCATCCCCGGTTCGCTTTAAGAAATAATAAAACAATTTTATGTTATCAATAGGGTAATAATTGATCTTAATGAAAAACATTTTTTGATTCAATAATCAGCAAACCTTAATCAGAATCTCTCTCATTTTTGTGGCGGACATACCCATTATCTCCTTGCACTCCTTGTCCCAAAGAACAAATGTTGCAGTGCCTGAGGGGTCTTTCATAGTCACTGTAACTTTGTACCTAGTCATTAAAGGGACGGAAAACTTTGATATCAATAATCTGACATTAAGAAAAAATAATACTTTTGAAATAACTCTAAAGTGACTAATATTTTTGAAATAAAATTCTGAAGAAATTAGATGTAATTGATTATTATACTTGTACTCCCCGGTGGACATAGTATTTTGGCATTAAAGACACCGAAAAACATCGCCTTCTTGCATTATCTTTCTACTACAGTTTTTGTTTTTGCAACTCAAATAGGACCAGTTAAAATATAATTCCAGTAAAAGTAGGGAAGAATTTTTCGAGTAGTTTGTCCAACCTCAGTTTCATTAAGTAGGTTGTGAATGCTAGTAATCTTTAGGTTTCAACCTATCCCCTCGCTACTTTGTGTGCTTTGTGTGAGAGTAAAGGTGCTTGAGGATCTGCACTCATCAACCTCGGTCTTAAATGTTTTGAGACATTCCTTTGCCTCTTCCGACTCATTGTCCAGTATAAGTTGAGTGACATGGAAGGATGTGGTTATTTGAATTTCTTCTGCACGTATATAATTATTTAAAAACAAAAACAGAAAACAGAACATGAGAAACCAAATGAATGATTCAAAACTCATACTAAGGATGCAGAATGATTTAAAACCCATACTTAGAAATTCTTTTGCACGGCAGAACTTCACCATTAGAATAGGATTTGTTATTCCTGCTCCCACCGCTTCATAAAATTTGTCAATGTAGTCATCCCACAGGGTGCACTGAAGTTTTTGTCCTCTATGAAGTAAAATTTCCTCCATAAATTAAAAAATATAACATTGAAAGGGAAATAATTCATTCAAGAATAGGAATAAGCATTACTTTCCATCTTCCAAAGTCAGCTCTAATGTTCTTTGGGGTTCCCCTTGAACCATACGAATTTGGATGTTTGTCCTTGCAACAACTTTTCCAATCACATCTGCAATTCAAATTAAATAGGATAAGATTAGTATGATAAATAAAACATGAATAAGAATCTGAATTTCTCTTACCAGTAAGCCGACTTTTGGATAGTGGTTCTAATAATTTTTCAAAAGGGCACAACTTTGACATAAAGCTGGGAAAACGATATGCACTGATGTCCTTCCAGGCTGTGTGTCTATAAAAACACAAAGTATATGGGTGGTCTGTGGTTTTGTAGGGTTGGTTGTTCTTGTTAACCACAAAATTTTTGAGTGCACAAGCTTTTCCTTCTTTGATTTTGGGTTTGAAATCTTCTAGTTGTGCTCTCCTAACTTGGGCATGAATTCTGGTACCCTGTAAATAAGAAAAGAACATGCTTATACTTTCTAACATAAACATATACAAAATTTTCAGTTAATGTGTTGTATACAAATACCTCTGAATCGTGGAAAATAATTTCCATGGTGTTTTCTTTTCCA